CCTTGCCCAATTCTTTCCCTCGCTCAGTTTCAACTGTAGAACCTATAACATGGTAACCACGAGGTGAGATAAAAATCTCAGTAACTAAGATAATCTACATTATTGATTAACAAGCTAAGTTATAAACAAGCATTAAAATAAGTAACATAATCACATCATATAAGATTACCACAAATTTACATGCATGATCCCTAACCATCCGGTCCTTCAATACTCTTGACCGAACCAGTAGGCTATTTCACAAAACCAACCCACATGTATGGTCCCCACTCTCACCATCCATGGTAGGACTACCTAGCCAAGGTGTCCTAAACCACTTTTGGACAACTGGTTCCCCTTATTACAAGTAATTGGGGTGTCGTTACTCCAACACCGCATCCTACAGATGCTAAGGAGTATATTCTCCAACTTCGCACCCTTTTAGGTACTAAGGAGAGTAAGTTTCCAACACCACACCCATTTTTAGGCATTAAAAAGAGTAAATGCTGCACCTGGCATCCCGAGGTGTCAGCAGTGCCATATGGACTTAATCTTCACTATCTCCACTAGCGTGACCTCCCACCCTCTAATATGCCACATTTCAATACATACTTCTACTTGACCATGCATAAACAACTTTCCAAACAAATATAACAAATTTTACCATTTACTTCAAAAATATAGAATTTCACAAACTAATACTCCACTCATTTTCTAAAATAGTTAACCCTTAAAGATTTTATCCATATATACTCAACAAATCATAGAAATGCAACTTGAAAATAACTTATACAATATAATAAACAATGCAAATTGTCTAGTTACCTCAACCCTTTTGTTACTAAAAGGGTTACCCGTGGTACTAATTCTCTTCTTGTGTCAAGGTAAGTCTTCCCACACCACAATCTATATCAACAAGTATTATATGTTAATTTTCAATTAACACAAGCACTATTAACTACCAATAGCCTCCCAATTCTCCCACTTCTCACTCAAATTCTCAACAAATAGGCTTGTCAAGATTATAATTTGTTCACACAATCCCTTTAAGCCTCCTTCTACTCTATCACAATATAAAACTCTCTCCGCTGGCTCATTTCCATGTGAATTTCCATGCATTTCAGAAATGATTCACGCCTAAATTGCTTCTCCCTTGCATCATGATGATGTCAGCTATTGCTTCCCATGTGATCAGCTTCAATTCACGCCATTATGCACTTCTTTGTTTCCCTTGATGATGTGATCCCATGAATTCCTTAGATCAGATTATACATGTGCTCTTGACTTCTCCAAATTTGTTGACCAAGTCTTTGCTCCTTGATTCTAAAATTACCCTCGCACAAATCTGAAAATAAAGACACAAAACTAAATAAATTCCAAAAAGACAATTAAAAAGGAAGAAAATGAGAATTTAAGCCCAAAAGTCCAATCAAGCATCTTAAAGTCTCAAACCATCCACCAAATAGCATTATTAGGGTCTAAGTAGTCAATGTGTGAAACATAGCTAAAAATCGAGAAACAAACCCTAATATGCACTATTTGGTGCCAAAAATCAAGTGTATACCATGTAAAATATTAAGTAGATCAATTCTCCCACACTTGGATTTTGCTCTCCAGGCAAAACTCTCTCAAAACCTAGACAAGTAAACAACACAAAAATACAAGCTCTCAAGAGTAAATCTAATTTTCAAAGTAAATGCACTATCACAAGAACCAAATCAATGTTGTAATCTTTAGAGAAAACCTTAATACATCACAAGTAACCATTTGCAAGAATGTAATCTCAAAGAGAAACCTCACCGGATTAGTGTTTCACTCTAGCACTCGATGTATAAGGGTATAAATATCACTCAAATTCCTTGACAAGTCATTCTACTATAGGCTTGTAATCCCTCTATCTCTCCACTACTAAGATGCAAGGGTTCTCAAGAATCATATGGACTTTCAAAGGATGTAATGTGCTCAATGGTACACTTAGACTTGCATGTGAAAGGGGTAAGGTTTGGCTCAAGAAACTTGTCTTGGCCACAATGTAGGTATGCTCAATATACAAGACTACTTAAAACCAAACCAAATAGATAACATAATAGGGATCATGCATGGAATGAATAATTGGCCAAGAATGAGATGATATGAGAATCTACAATAGGAACAAGTGAATCAAATAGCAAACCCAAGGAAACTTGCTTATCCAAACTCTTTCTTTTGCTTTTCTTTGATCCACTTTGGATCTCTTTTTCTCAAATATATTTTCTTTTTCTACAATCCTTTTTTCTTCTTTCTTTGTTTTTTTTTCTCTTTCTGTTTCTTCTTAATTTCATTTTTTTTTCTTTTTTTTTAAGCATAACTTCTAACGTTTGGGTACAACTCAAGAAATGTTCCTAATCATAAAAATAAAATGATATGGCCAATGTGAATGAATGAAATAGATCCCAATAGATGTTATCTACTAGTTAAATTTAAAATAGTCAATGCACATTGAAACATACCAAATGAGAATACATGCAATCTATCCAAAATAGGTTAAGTGTTTAAAAATGACAAAATAATAGAAGGCTCAATTTGGCTAAACAAGGGATAATCAACTAATCAAGGGTTAGTTAAAAGGCCTTAGGCACTTTAATGATGGCCATAATCACTTCCCCTACAACCAATGCACAACTGTAGCCTCAAGTAAGAGAGAAAACAAGTTCTAGAGGATTAACAAAATCAAGGAACATAAATCTCTCAATGGTTGAAAGCCCCTTCCATATGGTCTATTATTGCCTCTCTTAATCAATTACACTAAACCAAATGGTTTCTTGCTTCAAAACAGATTTAAGCTAAAGAAAGCAACATCTCAAAAGTTCAAACTTCAAATACAAAAACTAAGATAATCTTCAAAACTCAAGATTGCTCACAAAACAAAAGTTTTTTTTTTCAAAAACACACTATCCCCCACACTTAAACAATGCATTGTCCCTAATGCATGCAAAACACATAATGGGAAGAATTAAATCAAATCTGTACAGCATGTAAAAGTGTGAAAAAATGTCAAATTTTTTTTTCAAAAACACCACTAAACAGCAAAGGGAAACAAAGGAAAACAAAGAAACAACAAAAACTAATATAACAATGGAAAAGGAATTTCATTTTTTTTGTTTTTGTTTTTATAAACCTAATGAATCAGGTTGCATCTCCCCCAACACTTGAACTCAAAATGACATTCACAAACACAAACACAAGCAAAGAATGGTGTACCACATGTGTGCATATGTGACAACAAGCATATCCCAATTAGTGCTCCACTTGTGTGCTTTGTGAATCAATCAAATCAGTCAAAAAGAAATAAGAAGGAGAGATACAACCTTTGAAGACTCATGGAGGATCTTTGAATCTCATTTCAGCAAGCAATGTGGAAGATTCACCCTCATGAAATTTCTTGCACAAGTGGCCATTTGCCTTGAATGTTAAGCCACTTTGAGGATCTTTGAGGGTGAGAGTGCCATAGTCAAAAATTTCCTCCACAATGTAAGGGCCCTCCCATTTGGATTGAAGTTTGCCACCAATGAGCTTGAGCCTTGTCTTGAACTTGAGCACTTTATCTCCCACTTGAAATTGCTTCCTCAAAATACATTTATCATGAATGAATTTTGCTCTTTCCTTGTACAATTTAGAGCTCTCATATGCTTCCAATCTCAACTCCTCCAATTCTTGAAGTTGGAGTTTCCTAGAGGCAGCTACACCCTCCTCACCAAATGCACAAGCCTTTACAGCCCAATAGGCTTTGTGCTCAATCTCTACCGGGAGGTGACATTGCTTACCATAGACCAATCTAAATGGAGACATCCCAATGGGTGTCTTGAAGGCGGTCCGATATGCCCAAAGAGCCGCCTCAAGTCTTGAGCTCCAATCCTTCCTATTCGGTCTCACTATCTTTTGGAGGATAGACTTGATCTCCTTGTTCGAACACTCAGCCAACCCATTTGTTTGAGGATGATATGGGGTTGCCACCTTGTGTAGAACACCATATTTCTGAAGCAAAGAGGAGATAGTCTTATTGCAAAAGTGTGTCCCTTGGTTTGTGATAATCTTAATTCAGTACCTATTACTCTTTGCAACGCTTTCCAAAAATTTGAGGTGAACCTTAGGTCACAATCAAATACAATCACCCAAATACAATCAGGACTGGATTGGGTTCTTGGTAATCCCAAAATGAAATCCATAGATATATTATCCCACTTCCACTTTGGTATCTCTAGTAGTTTTAAGGTTCCTGCTAGTCTCTAATGCTAAATTTTAACCTTTTGACAAGTTAAACACTGAGACACAAAATCTATAACATCCTTTTTCATTTTAGGCCACCACAAATACCGCTTCATATCCTGGTACATTTTAGTTGCTCCAGGGTGAATTGTATATCTACTCTTATGTGCCTCATTCAGAATTTTCTTTCTCAAATCACCCTCATTTGGTACACAAACCTGATCTTGATATACAACATATCCATCATCACTGAACCCAAAGTTTGTGGTTTGCCTTCCCTCCACATCTTCATGAATTTTCAACAGATACTCATCCTCAAGCTGTGCTGTCCTTAACTCTTTTCAAAACTCATTAGTAATCTCTGTGGAATGTAGGATACACAAAGTAAATTCCAGTGAGTCATGCTGAATATCCAAGAAGGATTCCAGCAATTTATGCTCTTGCATCATTAGATAGGTGACATGCAATGACTTTCGACTTAAGGCATTTGCAACCACATTTGCTTTCCCCGAATGGTATTTAAATTCGAAGCTATAGTCTTTTAAGAACTCTATCCACCTTCTTTGCCTCATATTAAGTTCCTTTTGATTTACTAAATATTTCAGGCTCTTATAGTCACTGAAAACACTGAACACTGCTCTATATAAATAATGCCACCAAATCTTTAGTGCAAACACAACTGCAGTAAGCTCTAAATCATGAGTAAGGTAATTTTCTTCATGTGGCCTGGGCTGTCTAGAGGCATAAGCCATTACCCGCTCATCTTGCATCAACACACATCCTAGACCTTTTAGAGATGCATCTGTATACACTTTATATGGCAATCGTTGATTAGGAATAATCAACATCGGTGCCGTAGTTAGTTTCTCCTTCAACTTTTGAAATGCGATCTCGCACTTGTCATCCCAAATGAACGGATGATCTTTTCGGGTCAACCTAATCAATGATGAAGCTATCTGAGAGAAACCCTGGATAAATCTACGATAATATCCAGTCAATCCTAAAAAACTCCATATTTCAATCACAGAACTAGGTCTTTCCCATTTCAACACCGCATCCACTTTTATATGGATCCACCACAATCCCTTCCGCTGATACAACATGTCTTAGAAATCGGACTTCTCTTACTAAGCTTAGTATAGAGCTTGTTGTCCTTTAAAATTTGTAGCACAATTCCCAAATGCTTTGCATGCTGCTCCTCATTTTTAGAATATATCATAATGTCGTCAATGAATATTACAACAAACTGATCTAGGTAAGGCCTAAATATATGGTTTATGTAGTCCATGAAAATTAGAGGCGTATTTGTTAACCCAAATGGCATGACCAAGAACTCATAATGCCCATATCTGGTACGAAAAGTTGCCTTGGGCACATCCTCCAAGCGCACTCTCAATTGATGGTATCTTGACCTCAGGTAAATTTTTGAGAACACTGAAGCTCCCACCAATTGATCTAACAAATCATCAATCATTGGTAAAGGATATTTGTTCTTCACTGTCACCTTATTCAACTATTTATAATCAATACAGAGCCGTAAGTTACCGTCTTTCTTCTTAACAAATAGCACAAGTAATCCCTAAGGTGACACACTAGGTCTAATAAATCATTTTTCAAGTAAATCCTCTATCTGCTTCTTCAACTCAGCTAACTTCATTGATGACATCTGGTATGGTACCTTTAAGATTGGTTCAGTTCCTGGCACTAGGTCTATGGTGAATTCCACTTCTCTTTCTAGAGGCAAACCGAACATATGATCTATAAATACCTTAGGAAATTCATTCACTACCCCAATCTTATCAATACTTCCATCATAGACCCCATGTACTGAGAAGAAAACTATATAATCCATACACCCTTATTGCACCAATTTCTCTGCTTGTACTACTGATAAGAGCTTAGACTCGCTTAGGTGTAGTATGTACTGGTAACAAAACTATCTTCCTAGCACAGTCTAAGGTGGCATTATTTGCCATCAACCAATCTATGCCGATAATCACGTCCAAACCTTTCATAGGAATCCGGATCAAATCAAGAGTGGTCGAATGATTTTCAAACCTTACTTCTACATTCAAACATGCTTTACTAGTCATATCAGATGACCCAGATGGCGTAGACACTTTAATCACATAAGGCAATTCATGCAAAGGAAGTCCCAACCTCTTTACACATTCATATGAAATACATGAATGTGTAGCACCAGAATTAAATAATGCTTCAATTTTCTACTCGTAGATAGAAATAATATCTTTTATCAAATTCGGCGATGCTCTTGCCTCCTCTTGAGATAGTGTGTAGACTCGTCCTAGAATGGTAGATCTCTGCTCTACCATCTCCACTCTTCCCTTGGGGCATTGTCTTACTAGATGGCCAGGTTTCCCACATTTAAAACATGCCCAGCACCTCCCAGGATGTGACCACCCACACTTAGCACATGGTGGTGGTCGAGCTGTACTCAAGGTTGGGGAAGGCATATTAGAAGCCTGTTGGGATGGTTGTGGAAACCAAGACTCCTAAATCTACCTCTCTGAAATGTTCCTCAAGTTTGTGATCCTCTAACAAAGCTCTTCTTGCCTGATGCTGCAGAACTACTCGGGCCATAACCTGTCTTCTTGGAGACTCCTCTAGAAGGGCCTAGGGAGGACGAGAACCTCCCATGGTTATCTCGTCTCTTTTCTGCTTCTACTTCCCGACCCCTTCTTGCTACAATTCAGAGCTGATTACACATGTCACTATATGTGGTTACTCTTAGCAGAGCAATTTATTGTCTATATTCAGGCCTCATCTTTTCCAAAAGCCTCTTGGCCTTCCACTCACTATCATTGGTCTCATTTAGATAAGTAGAAAATTTTGATAGCTGATTAAACTTTTGGATAAATGCTTCCTCATCAAGATCTCCTCGTTAAAATGCATGAAACTCGGCCTCTTTCTCATATCTAAATGTTAGAGGAAAATGATGATCAAAGAATATTTCCTTGAATTGTTCTTATGTTAGCTGACGTTCATCCACTAGTCTTGTAGAATTCCACTAGTGTTTAGCATCTTCAACTAGATACACTATGGCTATGATCACCTTCTGTTTCGTGGAGCACAGTACCACCTCAAAGATGATTTCAACTATCTCTATCCATTTCTCCGCTTCTCCTTCCTTCATAGTTCCATTAAAGGTTGGAGGTTAAACTGAGAGAAAGTCTTCCATGCTCGATCAATAGCCATCCCTTGAACATCTCCATCTGCTCTCTTCCCAGATGATCCAGATCTACTACCAAAACCATGAGATGGTTCCAATCTGCTCTCATGAGCATCCTCTTGTCTCCTTTGTTCCTCCTCACGACCTCTATTCTAAAGCAGAACATCGTGATCTTGAAGAGTTCTTTGGATGTTCCTTATCATATCCTGCAATTCTTCAAGAATTGCATCATTACCTTGGGGCCTTTGTTGTTGTTCTACTTGTATCTTTAGCTGTACCTCTGGTATAGGCCCATGATTATCTGGTAAATTACCAGCATTTCGGATGCTTCTCCTAACCATTTTTCTCCCCTCCTAAGGAAGAAACCAAGTGGTAAAGTGAAATTAGTGGGAGACAAAGGGAAAGAGTTGTGTACATAAAGTTGCCAACTAATGAGAATGAATGCAATAGACACATTACCATAACCAAATCTCAAAACCCGAGAAACTAATACCAAAATGTAATGTCCACCTTGACATCACCAAAATTCACCACACAATCACAACAAACAATCATAATTAGGAGTAAGGATTGCTCCTAAGCTCACATTATATATATAAGGGTTAAAACTAGTAATCCTTTAGAAATAATTTTGGAAAATTTAGGATCTCATAAAAACCTTTTAAATTGATAGTTTGAGCTCAAACTTAATGATTTATATAGGGATTAGAAATGTGGAAAGGTTTTGGGAAGCAAAACACTTCAAAACAGGGCCAAAAATGTCATTTTTGAGTATTTTGGTCCGTGCACCGCAGCTCGTGGTCCATACACCACGGCATGTGGCACAGAAAGCCAAGTTTCCTTGCTGTACTGTGTGCCGCAGCTTGCGCGAAATGCACCGTGGCACATGTGTCCATAACAGCAATGCTGTCATGACAGCTTTTCTGAATGAACTTTGAACGTGCTCCATTTTCATATCCGATGTCCAATTGGAGTGATTCAAGTACCCACAGGAAGCTTATTCAATAAGCTAACTAATAGTACAAGTTTCGTTACAATCCAACACCGTATGAGAATTTTAGACACTCAGATGTAAAAGTTAATTTTTAAAGAGATTTTCAAGCGTCCAAGTACCCAAAACTCATAACTTATACCATTAAACCCCTTATAAGGCATGAACCAAGTCTAATGGACTAAAATACACTTAAGTGAACATTTAAACACACAAAAACATACCAAACACAAAATTTGGCCACTCAATAGCCTTTTTGCCCAATATGGCCAAAATACCAAATCAACATCATATATGCTATTTGGCCTCTATTGCCACATAATACATTACATATACCTTATCACCACATAGATAAAACATTCCTTGCACTTGTATTAGTATTTTAGCCCATCACCATAAAAATTCCCACATATTCACATCATATATAATATTGGGCTAAAATACACAATAACATAGTATGAAACAAGTGCAACCAATCAAAATGATATGCATTTCTAGTTGGCAACATATAATATCATATAACAAGTTTATGTACACCACTCTTACCAAAATTAGGCATTACTATTCAATGTAGCAAATCTACAAATCCTTGCCCAATTCCTTCCTTGGCTCAGTCTCAGCTGTAGAACCTGTAACATGGTAACCACGGGGTGAGATAAAAATCTCAGTAACTAAGATAATCTACATTATAGATTAACAAGCCAAGTTATAAACAGGCATTAAAATAAATAACATAATCACATCATATAAGATCACCACAAATTTGCATGTATGATCCCTAACTATCTAATCTTCCAGTACTCCCAACTGAACTAGTAGGCTATTTCACAGAACCAAACCACATGTATGGTTCCCAAGCTCACCATCTATGGTAGGACTTCTCGGCCAAAGTAATTAGGGTGTCGTTACTCCAACACCGTGTCCTACGAATGCTAAGGAGCATATTCTCCAACTCTGCCTCCTTTTAGGTACTAAAGAGAGTAAGTCTCCAACATCACACCCATTTTTAGGCACTGAAGAGAGTAAATGCTGCACCTGGTGTCCCGAGGTGTCAGCAGTGCCATATGGACTTAATCTTCACTATGACACTAAGGTGACCTCCCACCCTCTAATATGCCATATTTCACTACATATCTTTACTTGACCATGTATAAACAACTTTCCAAACAAATATAACAAATTTTACCATTTACTTCAAAAATATAGAATTTCAAAAACTAATACTCCACTGATTTTCTAAAATAGTTAACCCTTAAAGAATTTATACATATATACTCAACAAATCATAGAAATGCAACTTGAGAATAACTTATACAAGATAATAAACAATGCAAATTATCTAGTTACCTCAACCCTTTTGTTACTAAAAGGGTTACCCGTGGTACTAATTATCTTTTTGTGTCAAGGTAAGTCTTCCCACGCCACAATCTACATCAATAAATACTATATGTTAATTTTCAATTAACACAGCACTATTAACTACTAATAGCCTCCCAATTCTCCCACTTCTCACTCAAATTCTCAACAAATAGGCTTGTCAAGTTTACAATTTGTTCACACAATCCCTTTAAGCCTCCTTCTACTCCATCACAAGATAAAACTTAATATCTCAACTTATCACCCTTCAAAATCTTATGATCAAGTTAGTACTTGATCCAAAATTCACCAAACAAGAAAGTAGCATCCTATTACCACATATCCAAGATTAATAAACCTAAATTAAACTTTTAGAGTCAATAGAAACATTCAAAACATTGACTCATGGCTTAATCCAATCAGACCAAATTTTCACTCTTCCAAATCCCATGGAAAATGAGATGAAAAGGTAGAGGAGAAGGGTAGGAAACTTACTCAAGAGTTTAAAGGCTCAATTTGTCTTCAAAATCCTCCTAAATTGATGCCTTAGCAGTGCCCAAAGTTGCCCCCTTCGTTTTTTAGGTTTTCCACCCTAAAATCTAATCAATTTCTGATGATTTATAAAATTTTAAGTTGCCTGCTGTGCTGTGTGCCATAGTGCACGCCCCGTGATGAACCCTTTAGTCACCTTGGGTTATCAAATTTTACTAGAATGTAGAAATGAGTATTCTAGGTCATTTCCCTAGAGAGCAAAGCATACAAATCATTGTTCAAATACTTACAAATTAATCTAAATTTTCAAGTGACTAAACTAACTCTATAATTCAACAATAAATGTTTGTAAAATTCTATTTTAGTTGGAATGAAATGAATGATGATTATGGTGAGCCCAAGTCAGATTTCCTAACATTAATCATTGATTTCCAAAATTATAACATCATAAACCTTCTTGATTAACCTAAAATGAGATACTTAGAAACCTCAAAGTATGGTGCACCATTAGACTCAATGGACACTAATGAATCTAGGTCAAGTGAATATAGAAATTAACACTATATTCAGCCTTGTTCTACACAAGTTTCAGACAAAAACTAGTGGAAGAAAAACACCTCAAGTCAAATTCATATAACTAATATGGATCTAACTCAAGTCTACATAAGAACTTGAACGAGAAGCAGCAATAACTTATGTAATAACCCTAGAACATTAAGGTTAATCATAAATTCTAGAACTGAAAATAGCATGAAAATCTAAATTCAACATTCATATTCTCATCAAATCTGGATTAGAATCACAAAGTCTTCAACCAAAACAGGTTCAAAATTTGAAATTCTCAATTAATCAAGACAAGAATATGAAATCAAGAAAATGAACAATAATTACAAATCTGGAAATCTCATAATGTCAAGTCATCTTTCTTGGAGCTCTAAATGATCAGCCTCTCATGCTCTTCCTCTTCACTTGAATCAGACCTTGAGAAGCCTCCATGAATGTATGAAGATGAAGATGAAATCTGGAGATCAATGTGTGCTGGATGAAATCTCGAGGAGAAGAAGAAAATGGACGAAAATTTGGAGGAGAATGAAGGCAGAATTCAACCTGAATGAAGGATAAAGGAGAAGAAATGATCTGGATAGTGAGAGGATGAGAAGATGGTGTGATCTGGACAAGAAGATGAGAGAACTGAATCTGGGAAATTGGAGAGTGAATATGAACGAAAATTGAGAGAGAATATGGCTGAAGTGTGAGAGTGGGATCTGAATTCTGAGGCTCCAATCTGAAAATTCTGCTTAAGTACGAGTAACTAATTCTGATCCAATGGTGATGATTCCAAGGCTAAAAACTGAATCAGTTATTCCAGCTGGAAATAATGAATTAAAATTAAAAATTAATTCTGGAAATTAGAGGAAATGAGGCGCCAAAATGAGCTGGAGATGAGAGCATGAACAATGTGACTAAGCAGGGACCTTGTGACTTCATGCATGGGCAAAAACGTGACTCTCTCCGCTGGCTCATTTCCATATTAATTTCCATGCATTTCAGAAATGATTCACGCCTAAATTGCTTCTCCATTGCATCATGATGATGTCAGCTATTGCTTCCCATGTGATCAGCTTCAATTCACGCCATTATGCACTTCTTTGTTTCCCTTGATGATGTGATCCCATAAATTCCTTAGATCAGATTATACATGTGCTCTTGACTTCTCCAAATTTGTTGACCAAGTCTTTGCTCCTTGATTCCAAAATTGCCCTCGCACAAATCTGAAAATAAAGACACAAAACTAAATAAATTCCAAAAAGACAATTAAAAAGGAAGAAAATGAGAATTTAAGCCCAAAAGTCCAATCAAGCATCTTAAAGTCTCAAACCATCCACCAAATAGCATTATTAGGGTCTAAGTAGTCAATGTGTGAAACATAGCTAAAAATCAGGAAACAAACCCTAATATGCACTATTTGGTGCCAAAAATCAAGTGTATACCATGTAAAATATTAAGTAGATCAATTCTCCCACACTTGGATTTTGCTCTCCGGGCAAAACTCTCTCAAAACCTAGACAAGTAAACAACACAAAAATACAAGCTCTCAAGAGTAAATCTAATTTTCAAAGTAAATGCACTATCACAAGAACCAAATCAATGTTGTAATCTTTAGAGAAAACCTTAATACATCACAAGTAACCATTTGCAAGAATGTAATCTCAAAGAGAAACCTCACCGGATTAGTGTTTCACTCTAGCACTTGATGTATAAGGGTATAAATATCACTCAAATTCCTTGACAAGTCATTCTACTATAGGCTTGTAATCCCTCTATCTCTCCACTACTAAGATGCAAGGGTTCTCAAGAATCATATGGACTTTCAAAGGATGTAATGTGCTCAATGGTACACTTAGACTTGCATGTGAAAGGGGTAAGGTTTGGCTCAAGAAACTTGTCTTGGCCACAATGTAGGTATGCTCAATATACAAGACTACTTAAAACCAAACCAAATAGATAACATAATAGGGATCATGCATGGAATGAATAATTGGCCAAGAATGAGATGATATGAGAATCTACAATAGGAACAAGTGAATCAAATAGCAAACCCAAGGAAACTTGCTTATCCAAACTCTTTCTTTTGCTTTTCTTTGATCCACTTTGGATCTCTTTTTCTCAAATATATTTTCTTTTTCTACAATCCTTTTTTTCTTCTTTCTTTGTTTTTTTTCTCTTTCTGTTTCTTCTTAATTTCGTTTTTTTTTCTTTTTTTTTAAGCATAACTTCTAACGTTTAGGTACAACTCAAGAAATGTTCCTAATCATAAAAATAAAATGATATGGCCAATGTGAATGAATGAAATAGATCCCAATAGATGTTATCTACTAGTTAAATTTAAAATAGTCAATGCACATTGAAACATACCAAATGAGAATACATGCAATCTATCCAAAATAGGTTAAGTGTTTAAAAATGACAAAATAATAGAAGGCTCAATTTGGCTAAACAAGGGATAATCAACTAATCAAGGGTTAGCTAAAAGGCCTTAGGCACTTTAATGATGGCCATAATCACTTCCCCTATAACCAATGCACAACTGTAGCCTCAAGTAAGAGAGAAAACAAGTTCTAGAGGATTAACAAAATCAAGGAACATAAATCTCTCAATGGTTGAAAGCCCCTTCCATATGGTCTATTATTGCCTCTCTTAATCAATTACACTAAACCAAATAGTTTCTTGCTTCAAAACAGATTTAAGCTAAAGAAAGCAACATCTCAAAAGTTCAAACTTCAAATACAAAAACTAAGATAATCTTCAAAACTCAAGATTGCTCACAAAACAAAAGTTTTTTTTTTCAAAAACACACTATCCCCCACACTTAAACAATGCATTGTCCCTAATGCATGCAAAACACATAATGGGAAGAATTAAATCAAATCTGTACAGCATGTAAAAGTGTGAAAAAATGTCAAATTTTTTTTTCGAAAACACCACTAAACAGCAAAGGGAAACCAGGGAAAACAAAGAAACAACAAAAATTAATATAACAATGGAAAAGGAATTTCATTTTTTTTGCTTTTGTTTTTAGAAACCTAATGAATCAGGTTGCATCTCCCCCAACACTTGAACTCAAAATGACATTGACAAACACAAACACAAGCAAAGAATGGTGTACCACATGTGTGCATATGTGACAGCAAGCATATCCCAATTAGTGCTCCACTTGTGTGCTTTGTGAATCAATCAAATCAATCAAAAAGAAATAAGAAGGAGAGATACAACCTTTGAAGACTCATGGAGGATCTTTGAATCTCATTTCAGCAAGCAATGTGGAAGATTCACCCTCATGAAATTTCTTGCACAAGTGGCCATTTGCCTTGAATGTTAAGCCACTTTGAGGATCTTTGAGGGTGAGAGTGCCAGAGTCAAAAATTTCCTCCACAATGTAAGGGCCCTCCCATTTGGATTGAAGTTTGCCACCAATGAGCTTGAGCCTTGTCTTGAACTTGAGCACTTTATCTCCCACTTGAAATTGCTTCCTCAAAATACATTTATCATGAATGAATTTTGCTCTTTCCTTGTACAATTTAGAGCTCTCATATGCTTCCAATCTCAACTCCTCCAATTCTTAAAGTTGGAGTTTCCTAGAGGCAGCTACACCCTCCTCACCAAATGCACAAGCCTTTACAGCCCAATAGGCTTTGTGCTCAATCTCCACCGAGAGGTGACATTGCTTACCATAGACCAATCTAAATGGAGACATCCCAATGGGTGTCTTGAAGGCGGTCCGGTATGCCCAAAGAGCCTCTTCAAGTCTTGAGCTCCAATCCTTCCTATTCGGTCTCACTATCTTTTGGAGGATAGACTTGATCTCCTTGTTCGAACACTCAGCCAACCCATTTGTTTGAGGGTGATATGGGGTTGCCACCTTGTGTAGAACACCATATTTCTGAAGCAAAGAGGAGATAGTCTTGTTGCAAAAGTGTGTCCCTTGGTTTGTGATGATTGCTCTTGGGATGCCAAACCTGTAAAACACATGAGACAAAAGAAACTTCGCCACAGCTTTGGCATCATTAGTTCTAGTGGGGATAGCCTCAACCCACCTAGAAACAAAATCAACACAGAGCAATATATATTCACAACTATTGGAAGAGGGAAAAGGACCCATGAAATTCATACCCCAAACATCAAAGATCTCACAAAATATAATGGGCACCTGTGGCATTTCATGTCTCTTTCCTAAACTCCCAAAATGTTGACATGCATAACATGCTTTGCAAAATTGATGTGCATCTTTAAAAAGAGATGGCCAATATAAACCACAATCTAAGACCTTCTGCCTGGTCCTCCTAACCCCAAAATGACCACCACATGCATAAGTATGACACATCCTCAACACATCATCAATATCAACATCAGGAACACATATCCTAATGACACCATCACTACACAATCTCCAAAGAGTAGGTGAATCCCAAACATAGTATCTACTTTCCCTAGTAAGCTTCTCCCTAGCATGTCTAGTAATCCTATTTGGAAACACATTATGCACCAACAAATTGACCAAATCAGAATACCAAACAACATCATGGGAAGAAATAGCACATAATGACTCATCCCTAAACTCATCACAAGGGAAATCAAAAGAGGAATTCACCATAATGGAGTCATAAGGCAATCGACTCAAGTGATCCGCCACATGATTTGTTGCTCCACTCCTATCAATGATCTTTAAATTGAACTCTTGAAGTAGAAGCATCCATCCAAGCAAACATGGCTTAGTGTCCTTCTTCTTTAAAAGGTACTTCAAGGCCGCATGATCTGTAAAACAAACAACCTTGGAATGCAACAAGTAAGATCTAAACTTGTCAAGAGCAAACACTAATGCATATAATTCTTTTTTAGTTGTAGTGTAATTGCATTGTGCTTTGTCTAAAGTCCTAGATGCATATGCAATAACATAAGGTAGCTTGTTTTCCCTTTGTCCCAACATAGCCCCAACAGCAAAATTAGAGGCATCACATGAAATCTCAAATGGAATCAACCAATTAGGACTCCTCAAAATAGGAGGGGAAACAAGCTTATCCTTCAAAGCATCAAATGCATCTCTATAACTTGGAGAGAACTCAAATTTGACATCTTTTTGAAGTAATTGAGACAAGGGATGTGCAATCTTTGAAAAATCTTTAATAAATCTTCTATAAAAACCCACATGACCAAGGAATGATCTCAAGTCCTTGACATTAGTTGGATAGGACAGAGATGAAATCACTTCAATTTTGGCCCTATCCACCTCAATGCCATGGCTTGAAACCAAGTGGCCCAATACAATCCCTTGCTCAACCATAAAATGGTACTTCTTAAAGTTCAAAACCAAGTTCTTCTCCACACATCTAGCAAGGACTTTATCAAGATTTTTCAAGCAAGAAGAGTAAGAATTCCCATGAATTGTGAAATCATCCATGAACACTTCCATGCAATTTTCAATAAAATGACTAAAAATACCAAACATGCATCTGTGGAAGGTCGTTGGAGCATTACACAATCCAAAAGGCATTCTTCTATATGTAAATGTACCAAATGGGCAAGTGAAATTGGTTTTATGTTGATCAACCGAATCAATGCAAATCTGAAAATAACCACTATATCCATCAAGAAAGCAATAATGAGATTTCCCCCCTAATCTTTCTAACATTTGATCAATAAGTGGGAGAGGGAAATGGTCTTTCTTGGTTACCTCATTCAACCTTCTATAATCAATGCATACCCTCCAACTATCTTGTACCCTAGTAGGAATCAATTCATCAGGTTCGTTCTTTACCACAGTAATCCCACTCTTCTTGGGCACAACTTGCACTAGAGACACCCATTCACTATCACTAATAGGATAGATTATACCTGCACTCAAGAGTTTGGTGACCTCCTTCTTTACCACATCAAGTATGAAAGGATTCAACCTCCTTTGTGGCTGCCTTATTGCCTTGACATTTTCCTCCAACATGATCCTATGTGTGCAAGTTTGAGGGTTAATTCTAGAAATGTCTCCAAGTGTCCACCTAATAGCCTCAATGTTCTTCCTCACTACATCACGCAATAAAGACTCTTCCATAGGGGTTAGTGAAGAAGAAACAATAATAGGAAGTTGATTACCATTTCTTAAGTAAGAATACTTAAGATGTGAAGGAAGTGGCTTCAACTCCAGATTAGGTGGCTCAATGATGCTTGGAGGGATCTTTTGCACTTGAATTTGCCTTGCTAGATCCATGTCTTCCTCTTTAGGTAGCATGTCCAAGCTTCTCACAGCTGTTGTGTGAAAAATTTCGTCCAAATTGACTTGCTTGGTTCCAACCTTGTGCCTCACATCCAGATCTGATTGGCTTGCTCCAAAATTAATTCCAGGTTCGGCTAGATCTGATTCTGGACTTTCAGTACCAATTTGCACGCCCCTTGGATCATTAACAGCCCCAAAATTACTTTGTTCATGCCTTTCAAGTGTCCCTAAACCTGAAACATCATAAGTAGAACACTCTTCCAACCTTGGAGAATGATTAGGCACAAAAGGATCAAAGCTGTCAAAAATTCTAGAATTAAATTCACTAGAAGAAATCAAATGATGTGATACAATATGACATGTGGAAGATGAACTAGGGCCATCATTAGATGCAATTTCACTCTCATCACTTGATTCAATCACTAAATCAATAGAATTTCCAGAATTGATACTCAAATCATCAAACTCATCTAATGCAAGCAAATCACTCAAGGAAGCATATGTTTGGTCATGTGAGGAACTAGACAACACAAGTGCTTCAAATGGAGTGCAAGTAGATGAGTGATGCATGTCAAGTGTGCTGCCATTCAAATGCTCATGCTCAAGTAAATTCAATTCATCTTGAGATTTCAAATTAGACAAAATTAACACTATGTTATTGCAATTCACACAAATAGAGTCATGAGTGTATGAACAAGTGAAGCTCATCATCCAAGCTAGGATGCATAGAAATCTCATCAATAATTCCATCAAGTGTATCATCAATGCAATCCACAAAATGAAGGCTATAATCAACATAAGAGTTTTTCAAGCTATCAAATATGTTAAATTCAATCTTGCTATCCAAAAACTCCATGGTAAGTTTACCTTCCTTCATGTTCAATATAGTACTTGATGTCATCATAAAAGGTCTCCCAAGGATGAGTGTGCCTTGGCCTCCTTCTTGCATATCCAACACATAAAAATCTGCTGAAAAAATCAAGTCCTTGACCTTCACTAAGATGTCTTCCAAGAATCCCTTAGGCTTCCTAGTGCTCCGGTCAGCTAGTTGCAAGATGACACTACAATCTTGAAGACCACCAAGATTAAGGGAAGAATAAATGTGAGTGGGCATCATATTGATGGCTGCCCCTAGGCCAATCAAGGCTTCTTGAACAAACACATTCCCTATTTGACAAGGAATGGTACATGCCCCTGGATCTCTATACTTTAGAGGGAGCTGTGGCTTGAAGACAACACTAATGTTAGGACTCATTTGAACTGTAACTAATGGTTTGAATCCCCTTTTATTAGTGCACAACTCCTTCAAAAACTTTGCACACTTAGGCATGCTTTTTATCATCTCAAGAAGTGGTATGTTAACTTCCACCTTCTTCAACATATCAAACACATCATGCTTATCTTCTTCTTGCCCTTTCTTAGCAAATCTAGTCAAGGCCTTAGGGAATGGCATATCCCTTGGAATAGGGTCCCCAATTTGATATTCTTTTGGAGGCTCTCTTCTTCCCAACACCTCTTTCTCCTTAGGCTTGCTTGAATCATTCTCAATTGCCTTAGAAGATGGATGAACCGTGGCTGTTCAAGCACTGTCTTAGCCTTGATTTGAGCTCAATTTTACCTCTTTTTCTTGAGCATTCAGGGCTGATCTTTCCCCATTTTCATCCTCAACTACAATCTTTTCAATAGAGTCATCCTCATCATCAATCACTTGAGGACTTAGAGAAGTAGGAGGCATGTTCTTGAGGCTATGTGAGGCACTTGGATGCATATTTAGCTTGCTGTCACAGCAAGTGGAATCATGTGGATCAGCAAGAGAAAGTGGTCTTCCTTCACAAATTTGAGAATTCCTTGAAATAACCTCATTAGGCTTGTTGCCACTATGGTTTGAGGCACTTGGAATGGCTTCAAGAACTCTTCCACTTCTCAACTCAATTGCACTTAGGCTCTTTGGATTGATGACAGGTTGAGTTGGGAGCTTTCCACTTCCTTGAGCTTGGCTAATGCTATTTGAATTCCTAAATTGTTGTACCACCAAATCAGTGCTTTGTTGCTTTGATTCAAGATTATCTAGCCTCTTAAGCATCATGTTCATTTTTGATTCTGCCCTAGACACATGAGAATCAAACTTTTAGCCTATAGAAAACATAGCATCACCCATCCTCTCAAGGTAGGAATACATTTGTTTATCACCTCCACCATCTTGAATAGGGATCACTTGAGAATTCTTGGCTTGCACAACCTCTTGATTACCCTTGTAGCTGAAGTTAGGGTGCTGCCTCCAACTTGGGTTATATGTGCTCCCATAGTTAGCCTCAAAATTGTTCCTTGCCCCTTGATTATGTTGATAATTGTAGGGCCTTTGTTGTTGATACACAGCCCCAACATCTTGAGCATGCATGCAATTAGAGGTGATATGCATTGTGGAATTGCATATACCACAAATAGGAGCCACTAGAGCATTGGACATAGAAGCAATCTGAACTTGTGGAGGATTGGAGATAGACATCTTGAGAAAACCCAATTGAGAATAGATATCCTCCAATTGGGAATTAGCAATAGAAGATTGGCCTACTTGGTGAACACCCCTTGCATCTCTTGAGCTATATTGTTGGTTATTATTTGCAAGCTTTTCCAACAAGGTCCATGCATCATCCGGTGGAAGATCCAATAGAGATCCATTTGCAGCAGCATCTATGGTCTCTCTATCATGAATTTGCAACCCCACATGGAAATAATCAATGAGGAACTCCTTGCCCACATTTAGGTATGGACACTTTGCAAGCAACTCAAGAAACCTCATCCAATACTCATAAAGAGATTCTTGAGGTTGTTGTTGAATCCCCATGATTTGCTTCCTTAGTTGGGAATACTTTGTTGCTGGAAAATATTTTTCAAGGAAGCAATTTCGCATCTCCACCCAAGAATTGATGGTTCTTGTGGCAAGAGTATTGAACCATGTGATTGCTTTGTCCTCAAGAGTAAAATAGAAGACCTTGAGCATCAAATTCTCCAAGTTTGCTGTGGGAGGCTTCATGGTTGAACAAACCCTCTCAAGTATTTGAAGATGCCTATTAGGATCCTTACCTACAAGGCCATGGAATTTTGGCAAAGCATTAATCAATGAAGGTTTGATTTCATACTCATTTTGTTCTTGTAAATTCAAAAACAAGCCACTAGGTCTAAATGTGTCAGTGGGTGCTACCATCTCTCTAATTCTCCTCCTAGCAGGTATTTCATGTTCATTACCATGCAATCTATCAGCCATACTGTCCAAAATCACAGAATTATCAACTATGGTGTTTGGAAGAGAAGAAGATGCTAAGAACTCTAAGTATTGATCTCTAAATTCAATATAATTTTCACCAAGTTCTTTGCAAGTCCTACAAGACATATAAATCTCAGAACACCACAGAAATAGCACTGGACCAAAGAAAAATCAAAAATTCAAAAGTAGGCAAAAATTCTGAAAACTGGCAGAATTGAAACACACTGAGGCAGTATTTTTGTAAAACTTTTTCGAATGTGAAAAAGACAAAATTAGTAAAAACTCAAAACTAAAACTTTAAAGCTAAAACACTGAATTAAATGCAAGAATTTTTATAAACAAAATTTCCAAACAGGGAAAGAGATATGCTCATCCAAAGTTAGCCCTGTCTGCCTGGAGTGTCACTGGGAGTCAGCAGTGGACCTTATGTGCTTGTTCAGTGCACAACTCTCTGGTCCCGAATCAAATTGAGCTGAAATTTTTACCCGAAACTTTCAAAACACAGAAGGTTATACAGTCCAATTTTCAAGCAAAAATTCGCAGTCAATTCTTCCCAGCTTTTTTTCGAATTAGGGTCAGCAGCACTGGAAATTCCAGTGAACCCTGTTTCAGTCAAGCAAAAATTCAACCAACTTAATGGCCGAATTAGCAATTGTATTCAACAGAAACAATGTTTCTAAGATAACTAGGAACACAATGAAACAAGAATCAGCTCAAAATGATATGTCTAGCGAAAATTATACCCGTCCAAATTTCGTGTAAAATTTCTGGGCAGAGCAAATTCTCACAGCTTGTTGGCACTTGAGCTAACCTTGACAGATTTGGCTTGCACGTCCAGAATCAATAACATGGTGACTATATCCAGTAGCAAACAAACCAAACAAGTGATCAAATGCTTAGAAAGCACAAGTCAGCCACCACAATACAAATTCCAGAATTAAGCCAAAATGCAAAGCAAATTAAAACAGCAATTGAAACCACAATTAGTATGGCTAGTTGCTCTCCGGCAACGGCGCCAATTGATGAACCCTTTATTCGCCTTGGGTTATTAAATTTTATTAGAATGTAGAAGTGAGTATTCTAGGTCATTTCCCTAGAGAGCAAAGCATACAAATCATTGTTCAAATACTTACAAATTAATCTAAATTTTCAAGTGACTAAACTAACTCTACAATTCAACAATAAATGTTTGTAAAATTCTGTTTTAGTTGGAATGAAATGAATGATGATTATGGTGAGCCCAAGTCAGATTTCCTAACATTAATCATTGATTTTCAGAATTATAACATCATAAACCTTCTTGATTAACCTAAAATGAGATACTTAGAAACCTCTAAGTGTGGTGCACCACTAGACTCAATGGACACTAATGAATTTAGGTCAAGTGAATTTAGAAATTAACACTATATTCAGCCTTGTTCTACACAAGTTTCAGACCAAAACTAGTGGAAGAAAAACACCTTAAGTCAAATTCATATAACTAATATGGATCTAACTCAAGTCTACATAAGAGCTTGAACAAGAATAAGCAAGAACTTATGAAATAACCCTAGAACATTAAGGTAAATCATAAATTTCAGAACTGAAAATAGCATGAAAATCTAAATTCAACATTCATATTCTCATCAAATCTGGATTAGAATCACAAAGTCTTCAACCAAAACAGGTTCAAAATTCAAAATTCTCAATTAATCAAGACAAGAACATGAAATCAAGAAAATGAACAACAATTACAAATCTGGAAATCTCATAATGTCAACTCATCTTTCTTGGAGCTCTAAATGATCAGCCTCTCATGCTCTTCCTCTTCACTTGAATCAGACCTTGAGAAGCCTCCATGAATGTATGAAGATGAAGATGAAATCTGGAGATCAATGTGTGCTGGACGAAATCTGGAGGAGAAGAAGAAAATGGACGAAAATTTGGAGGAGAATGAAGGCAGAATTCAACCTGAATGAAGGAGAAAGGAGAAGAAATGATCTGGACAGTGAGAGGATGAGAATATGGTGTGATCTGGACAAGAAGATGAGAGAACTGAATCTAGAAAATTGGAGAGTGAATATGAACGAAAATTGAGAGAGAATATGGCTGAAGTGAGAGAGTTGGATCTAAATTATGAGGCTCTCATCTGAAAATTCAGCTTATGTATGTGTGGAAAATGTGAGTGGTGATAAAACCAAAGTAGATGGTGATAAAAACAAGGAAGGTCCAGATCTGAAATGAGCTGGAAAAATGGATGAAAATAAGCTAAAATGGGAATAAAAATAAGGTGGAAAATATGGCAAGGGACATGTGAACATATGTGGGAAATGTGACTCCTCCTTAGGCTCCCAATCAGCTGCCACATGTCCTCCCATTAGATCTGATCATGTCACTAGTTTGAATTTTTTGTTGTCATTTTGACAGCAAAATGATGAATTTTCGGCATGCATCGTTTCCACATACAATGTCCGATCGGAGTGATTCAAGTGCCCACACAAAGCTTATCTTATAGACTAGCTAATGATGCAAGTTTAGATATGATCTAACGATCTAATCAAAATTTAGATATTTGGGAGTAAAATGTCACTTTTTACAAAAATTTCACGCACCCAAGCACTCAAATCAATCCCTTTCTCTCATTAGACCACACTAGGCCTTAAATTAAGTTCAAAAGGACCTATTACACCTAATTGACCATAATATATCACATATATTCACATATTCAATATTTGACCCCTCAACGGCCAATTTTCACATTTCTCAACTTTTTACAATTTTACACATTTTGGCCCACTTGGCCCTTTTTCTTTATCACATATCCACACATATCATATTTACTACTTAAACTTAGTCCTAAATTACTTAGTTCATCATAATTTCACACATCGGCTAAGATTTACCATAAATCTTTGAACTTTCAATCAAAAACCCATTTCAAAACATGCATGCAAACTCCTATGGAAACCTATTTACATAAATACACAAGCTTTCAGTTCATTACACAAACTCAAAGGTTTCGCACAGCTTTAGTAACTTTAAGCCAGTCCAGACTCTTTTTCCTTACCCTGATCATTGCTTTGTCTTATAAAAATGTAACCACAGGAGTGAGATAAAAATCTCAATAATAGAATAACTTATTCCTATTGACTATCACATGCAACTATATGAAAGTAAAGCATATATAACGTTAAACATAACATATATCACAATTTTGACTTAAATCACATCAATATTTCACATTCCACCTCTTTACACCACTTTTTACCACTTTACTAGCACAAGCATTACATAGCATGATTACTATTAGCTGAACCTCCAAATTACCCCGACACGAAACCATGGGTTTGTCTTAGACCAATGTATACTCTCATTGGCCCTAAGCTTACCTTTAGTAGTTGAATCACCTAGCTAAAAGGTGTTTTATCTCACTTCTAGACTTTAGTTTCCCCTAATACATATAATGGGGTGTTGTTGACTCCAACATCACATCACACAAATGCTAAGGAGTCTAAATCTCCAGCATCAAACCTCAATAGGCATTAAGGAGATCATCTCCAACACCGCACCTTGAAGGGCACTAAGGAGGTATAATTCTCAAACATCGAACCCCGTCAAGCATTAAGGAGAATATGCCATATGGTCTTATCACCACCTCTCCATTTTGGTGAACTCTCACCCTTATGATCATACTTTCTGAACCATTCATAGGTTCCCAATCACTACTTTACTCATATATATATACATGTATACAATTTCACACCAAATTACACAAATTTCATTACATGTTTAACTAAAATTACTTTTTATGCAATAAACACTCAATGCTACAAAACTTGCTCAGTTCAAAACTATTTCATGTATTACATAGCAAACTCTCACACAGTTACAATAAATAATTAAACAAAAAAAGTTATTTAGTTACCTCAACCCTTCTGTCACTAGAAAGGTTACCCATGGATTTCAATTACCACAATAGCTCGTTATAAGATTCCTTTCTACACTCACATGCTTGATATGCCAATCTAAACACATTTGGCACAATTTAGTCATTTAGTTCAATTTGACCAAAAGTACATAATTACTATTTGTGGCTATATTTAGCTATCTATTCTTTTTTATTTATTCATTCTAAGTCCATTACTACTTGATCTACTTTACATCTCCTCAACCGGTCTCATTTTTGTTAAATTAGATTTTGACCCTAAAAATCTCTTGATTTAGGGCCAAATTGAGCCTACGGGTTCAAAGTTTTATCGTTCAACTTTAAACTAGTCACAAAGCTCTAATTTAACTCCTAAGAACCTTGTTATTAATATTAGAAAAGAATCAAACCCTAAAATTTTACCAATTCAATTTTCCTATAACTTATATTCAGAGAAATTTGGGTAGAATGGAAGGTAAGAGTTATACATAGCTTACTCGCTAAATTATTGATCAGAAGCACCTTCCATCACTCCAAAATCTCTTGCCCTAATAGACCTCAGCTTTCTCTCCTCTCCATTCATATGTTTTCATATTCTCCCTTTTAAAATAAAATTTATGACTTAAGAGGTCATTCTCTGGTCCATGCACTGTGGCACATTTAGCACAAGCTGCGACACGTGGCATAGTGAGAAAAATTCTCACCATGAATACTTACTTTAATCCAAAACATGATCCTTCCACCTATACTTGTTCATTTAACATCCCAAAGATACAAATCATCAACTAATCATCCAAATCTCTAATCCCACACTAATTACCACTTTCCCCTAATTAACGGCTAGTCAAGGATTAAGAAATTCAGGATGTTACACCCTTCTTATTGGTCAAGTTATTAGAAAAGTTAGGGATAAAGTTAGAACTAGAAGTTCCCTTAAAGAAGTATGCCATTTTAGTGCATTTCTTTCTAACATTGAATCTTCTGACATCAAAGAAGCCTTATCTGATGAATATTAGCTTATAGTAATGCAAGAAGAGTTAAACCAGTTTGAGGAAAGTCAAGTTTAGGACTTAGTGCTTAGATCTAGTGATTATCCTATAATAGGGACGAAATGGGTCTTTAAAAATAGACTTGATGAAATTGGAGTTATTGTAAGAAATAAAGGTAGGCTAATAGCTAAAGGTTATGATCAAGAAGAAGGTATTGATTTTAATGAAACCTTTACTCCTATTACTAGACTTAAGGCTATTAGACTTTTACTTGCTTGTGCTTGCATAATAGATTTTAAGCTTTATCGAATGGATGTTAATAGCGCTTTCTTGAATGGACTAATCAATAAAGAAGTTTATGTGAAACAGCCTCTAGGATTTGAAGATCCATTAATGCCAAATAATTTCTGCAAACTAAAGAAGGCCTTATATGGACTCAAACAAGCTTCTAGAGCTTCGTATGATAAGTTAATTACCTTTTTACTCAGTAAAAACTTCAAAAGGAGAATGGTGGATAAACCTTATTCTTTCAAATTGAAGAAAGTGATATTTTAGTAGTTCAAATATATGTTGATAATATTATTTTTAGAGATATCCATGATAGGGGAGCTGAACTTCCTCAAATTACAAATCAAGCAAATGAGTGATGGGATCTTCATAAGCCAGACTAAATATACATATGAGCTTTTGAAGAAGTTTAGGTTTGAGAA